GCATTACACTATCAATATATAGGAACAACTTGTGACTGATCTCAGTTTCTTTTCTGACCACGAACATCTTATATAACCTCTAATATGTCAATTTCAAAAGCCATTCTTTATATTTTTAAAGTCGGGAACACGTCAAAGAAAAAATGTTGCAGTGACACTCACCCAGCACATCAAGGGTTAAATGCTTGTTAGCTCATGGCATACAAGAAGAGGAGATATTACTTACCTTAAACCCGCTCCAGCAGGCTCCATTACTCTCCTCTTTTTGACGCTCTGGGCAGTCCCTTTAAACATTGCATTATGCATGGAGGAGGCGAGTGTGTGACTAGGAGCACCTTAAAGAGGAGGCTTCAGACTGCATTATGGTTACTGGATGGAGCTGAGGAGCACAAGAAATAAATAGATATTTCCTATGCTCTTCATCTCCATCTAGTGGCCAAATGCAGTATTACATTACATACATTCAAGCTGGAATGAAAATTATATCTAAGAACTTTAATTTTTGCATTTGTTTGCACAGAGCGAACATTCAGAAAGATTTGCAGGGCAAATGGCTCTGCAGCCACTGTTAGAATACCCAAACAGATTTTGCAGCTGATTGACTGCAAACTCCGTTCGGGTGTAAATTTTCTGACCTCCCAGATAGCAAGCAATTGAGCTGCAAGTTTGAAAATGACTTGCTAAACTATTGCTAGACTTGCCAAGCTTCACAATTTTGTTGCACAATTACAGCAAGTCTGCATTGCAAGTCTCCAGATCAACGTGCTTTGTAAAAGTGCTGTACACTTGCATCGCTCTTGCCAAGACCTGCAGGACTCTTGCTGTAGACTTGCCAAGCAAATTTGCTACAAATTCGAAAAGTGTCAACTAGAACTTGTGCTGCAAGTGTTCTGCAAGTCTACAACTTGCCAGGAATGTGTGCAGCAAGTTAACAAGAATTACAGTTTAACCCTGCCACAAGTTTGTGGCAAGTTATCCTTGCTATCTGGGCTGCTCCTTCAATCAGCTGATCGAGGGATGCAACCAAGCAGTGGCGTAACAACCGGGGGTGCGGGGGGGTCACTTGCCCCGGGCGCCCATAACTCTGGTTACGCCACTGCAACCAAGGGCACCCACTGTGCTATACCCAGCCAGTTCATCAAGAACCGGATGAAATTCACACAGTGTTTAGCCTTTTTTACACTGTTCAAAGAAGTGGATGGTCAGTGTCAGTGGCCTATAGCTGTTAAGCAGATTTTCTGTTGCAGACTTGGTGAGGACTAATTTCTGATTGGTTGCTCTGGTTGTTTTTGGTTACTGTACATCACTCCTGCATTGACATGCAAAATAGGCATCTTTCTTTTGTGTGTTTTCATGTTTCATTGTACCTACTCTGTATGTGACTTCAGGGTCACTGATAGGGGGTACATCCACAAGGGGAGCCCTGTCACCTAGGCTGTATGGTGCCCCATGATTTCTAATGGCAACAGAGACAGCTGACTGCTGCTGTCATTATTTAACTCCCACCACTGCTACTGGTAAGTTTCTAGGACTGCCTTGCTCCTAGCAACCAACCACCAGCTGCCAAATGGTTGGCACGTGGAATGCTGGGAAAGGCAGGGAGGTAACAAGTTATTGGTTGGTTGCTAGGATCACTCAGCATCCTAGCAACTAACCAATGACTTGCTGCCTCCCTTCCCAGAATTTAGCTCTGCACCCGCCTCCTTCAGTTGCCTGCCTGTCTCCTCCCGTCAGCCATTCTGCCATGTGCTGTCCAGCCATCTAAGCCTCCTGATGTAGAATGCCAGGAGTGAGCTGATTGGCTGACAGGCAACACACCTACCTCTTCTCTGGCACGTTGGGCACACTGAGTATCTGGTGCACTGTTCTAAGGTGCTACTAACTCCTAGTCCACCAGGGATTACCACTAGACCACCAGGCAACATGGAATAGAGCCATGATTCATGATAGGTGAATACATGAGACCACATATGTGGACATGGAATAGATGATACAAGCTATAGGTGCACAGTTTTGTTAAGCTGGCCATACACTAGTAGATTTCTGATTGAAAGACCTTTCTTTACCATCAGACACTTGACGAATGGCGGTCAAAAAGTATCATCAATCTGACCCCATCAACTAATAGAAAGTTGAATGAAAGATCTTTCATAGGAAAGTTCATTTGGAAATCTATGCGTGTAGATTTTTGGTTATAGCTTTATTGTTGTGACATTCATTCTGTCAGTGGAGGTAATATGACATCATTATGACATCACTGGGTAGTGTTTTACTGTTTTTGTCTATTTTGCCTAATTTTTTTGGTTAACTTCACTGGGTATTTAAGAATGTTTAGCACTTTGAGTTTCTGACATTTTGCCTGACGGAGGGACTCTGTGAGGTTCCAAAACATTGCTTTTTTAGGTCATGCTAAATGAATACCATTTAAGATAATAGACTGAAGATTGTGGACAGGTTCGGAATTTCAGTGCTTGCCAGAGGTGCTATTTTCTGTAGATATGCCTCTGTCTCCAGCCAAAACTTTTCTTGATTTCGATAGACTAAGTACAATACAAACCCTCTGTCAATTTCTTTGTCCTTACTGGGAAGATTTCCCCTGACTTCCTGTTCCAGGTACACGAGGAAAAGAAATGAGGCAGGGTGGGTGTCATCGGGGCAGGAAGACAAGTACCGTATTTTGCGTTCCATAAGACGCACCGGACCATAGGACGCAGGGAGGTCCGGTGCGCCTTATGGAGCACTCGAAAGACCGTAGCTTCTGTGACAGAAGCTGTGACAGAAGCTGCAGTTAGTGATTACAGCGCCACGGTCTCAGTGATCACACAGAGCAGACGAAGAACGTCCGTTCTTGGTCTACTCTATGGTGATCTCGATCGCTGCTCGCTTTTAATATGAGTGCTTTAGCAGAGCTAAATGTACAAAGCACTACTCGCCCGGCGCCCGACACTACATGTCTCGGGCGTCGGGATTCGCTCCATAAGACGCAGACACATTTTCCCCCTCCTTTTAGGGGGAAAAAAGTGCGTCTTATGGATCGAAAAATACGGTAAGTAAAAAAAAACAACATGTCTTCCTCTTTCCAACACGGTTTTCGATATATATGTCTCATCACTTCTTGTCCTGTGACACCCTGTGACTGGGACAGCAAGTAAGGGTAAATCTTCCCAATGGGGGCACAGACAGCAACTAAATCCTGAAAGATGTTCTAATGCAAAGCTCTGCTTTCAAAGTGGAAAAAGGGAGCATTAAAATGGGAGTTGTGACCAACAGCAACCAAGTAGCTGGTGAAAAGTAGCCATCACCCCAAGCTCGCTCCAGTAATGGACTACAATCTCGATACAAATTAGTAAATTAAACATGAGACTGTAGACCACCACGTGAGCAAGCTTGGAGTGGTGGCTACTTTACAACACACACAGGGACCATGGGGAACAAAAGTAGCCACCCTCCAGAAGGAAGGACAGTGTCAGCACCAATTGAGAGATTATTTGAGGATCTACAAGTGATGCTCAAATAAGATACATTTTTGTTAATAGTTAAGGCACTTGAATGCACTTTTAAGATATAACTCCTGAGTTTAGTGTCACTTGAAGGATTGGTTAGCTGCAATATATTAAATATTTGTTTTAGGGTCAATATATGCTTTAAAGATACAATGTTCCATCCCTCTCTGGCCAGTTTCTGACACAATCTTTGGCTCTTGAGTCCTGGTGCTTAAATCTACAGTAATTAACAGTCTGCTGTGATGCAACTTGCAGAGTTGATTTGAAGCCACAAGTCATCAACAGATGCAGTATGGATTCAATCATAGGAAAAATGTCTTTGACGAAAAAAGAAATTGTCTATTTCTAGAATGCTGCAGCAAAAACACTCATTCAATACCATCCTAAGTTTCAAACTGGAAACCACAGGCAATCGTTTCATATGTTTAAGGTGACTGACAGGTATTGTCAAGCCACTTAAAACGAATCTTATACATCTCGCAGTGTAGAAGAGCAGATTAAGGTACTCATAAAACTCACATTTCCTTTTTTATTCATTGCCATGTAATCATAGGAGATCAGGAAAGTGCAATTGTTCTGTGTCAGGACACTGCAGATTATTATTCAGCATGTCCATAACTGGATTAAAGTTTACATTGCATTGGAAGAGCTGGTTGTGCAAAAGGCTTGAAAATATGTTACTATGTCTAATTAGAGAAGTGATTGCCAGCCCAACCTTAGTTTTTCAATAGTTATATAGTGCATTCTGACACATTCTTTTTTTTTAAGCTTTGAATTTGGAGTGGGGAAGGATTAGAATGCCTGACGGTCACAATGACATTGGTTTCACCACATGGGACGTAACGAAAATTCTTCAACAACATCAAATTAAACAGAAATAAAAATCCTATTTTCAGCACAGAAGAGAAAGATTAGAACCCCTATCAGTTTTTATTGGCTATAGACAAATCCATCCAGGACCTGACCCTGAATGCCACTGCTAGGGAGAGCATGAATACTGGTGATACAGTATTATAAAATCATATCATAAAATAAAGATAAATTAGAAAAAAGCCCATAATGAGCCTCAGTTGTTTATTGAAGGCACAACAAGACAGGTGACAAAGAAAAAGTGAAAAAAATATGTTCTTCCACTAACGTTCCCGGAGCCTCAGGACCCCTTTGTCAAAGTGACACCTTGATGTGCTTTTTCTATTTTATGGTTTTATATGGCTGTCAAATCATTCCCTACTGTATCCATAACTGTAGAAAAAAAAAGTTTTGGCTGGACATACTCTTTCAAATATAGTCATATGTTTTGAGAAAAGTGATGAGAAAAATGAACTTCCCCTTTAAATTATGGAACAAATTTATGAAGTGATTTACCAAATTTGGGTCAGTTTCCTTAAAATCAGTTTTCCATACTGTATGTTTTAACATAAAAAATATTGCCTATATTATCCTTACAACTACTATAATTTTTGCTTAGTCGAACTCTAAAAAAAGACCTTATCTTACCTGTCAAGTGACACAGTGGTCAGGGTGAAGCTAGAGGCATACATGGTGAGGTATATGAAGAAGTGTACAGCTTTGCACATGAAGGGGCCAAAGACCCAGCTGTCCAGGGTGTAGATGGTGGCTTGAAACGGCACACAGAAAATAATGAAGCACAGGTCCGCCACGCCTAAGTTCAAGATAAAAAGATTGGTGGTGTTATTTATCTTTCCATTTCTCAGCAGCACCGCCAGAACCAGGCTATTGCCCACTGTGCCCACTAGGAAAATAAGGGAGTAAAGCACCGGGATGAGAATTGACTCCGGATGGTAACTGTCTGAAGAGGAAATCAGGATAGAGACATTCATTTTCACTGTCTCTTCTGCAGTCCCGTGTTCAGGAAATACGACTATATTTCACATTACAACATCAAAATTGATTGAGCAATCCCTTTAATTTCCAAAGTCAATCCTTTCCCAGCAACAGATCAGATCGAGTGGTTGCTGAGTAGTGGCTATTGCAGAGTTATACAGATTGTATAAAATTGTTGATGAAGTCTATTTTATCGATAGCCAACCTCTCCATGGAGCTTCTCGGTGAAGGCATTCTGTGAAAAAACTTATTCTGAATCAAATTCTGTAACAAGTGGTATATAGAACCTTTGTGAACAGAGAAAAAGTCTTCCTATTGCTTGCTTTGTTCCAGCAGTTCTGTATCTTTTGATGGATCAGGCAGGTTGACAAAGCAAGGTTTTGAGAATCTCCCCAGAATGTCTGAAATATGTTAAGCCCTCCTTTCTTGAATTCACGAGTTAGCGAACAGACAAAATTATATACAAAAAGTCTACTTTGCTTTGTTCTTTGTCCAGGAAAAAAAAAAAGTGAATTATTTTGTTCCAGGTCTGTATGTGTGGCACAGTTTGCCTTTTTAAATTGTTTTTCTGATGTGATGCTGTGCTGAGCCTACTGCATCCTATCTGGGGTATGAGGGATCTGAGCACCTCTTCTTCTTAAGAGTCTTCTTTCATGCTTATTGTCTCCCTGCAATCCACCTATCATGGTAATGTTACTAGCTCACTCAAGAAAACTTTAGCACTGACTGGTTCTTCTTGGAGAATAGGGGCACATAAACACAGATACGGTTAGAAACTTCTCTTGCTTGACTCCCCCTCCCTGTGTGCAGGCTGCTGATGAGTGTGCTACGAATATTTCTGAGAATAAATAGATCAGAAGCATCCCGTTTCCAAGGAGATAAAAAGGTTAAAAAAAGAGTGACGGTGTCCATAGTAACTAAACCCCTGATCTGTGCATTAGGCAGGCATCACTTAGTGGCGGGAGGAGCGTGTCAGGTCTGTGGGACTACTAAATTAGAAAACTTAGTAGAGGGTTGTCAAATGAGAGCAGGACATGAGTACTAAAACATTGCAATACCTGTGTGTGTGTGTGTGTCTGTGTGTGTGTGTGTGTGTGTGTGTGTGTGTGTGTGTGTGTGTGTGGCAAGAGCCATTTCTGTAACAAATGGTTTTCTAAAGATCTGACGACCCTATTTATTATTTAGAGGTGGAGTAGAGATAGATAACCCTGATTTGAATTCACCTTTCTAGTATTTATTATTCTCTGCTTCTGTGGGATTTCTCCCTTTCTCCAGAAGATTTACAATTTCAAACACTATTAATACACAAAAGTATTATTATCATTCTAATACATGGATATACATATCTCCAAAGGGTTGATTTACTAAAGGCTAATAGGCTGTTCACTATGCAAGGGGAATTTTCCCTTAATTAGGGAATGAGGTAAAAAATTCACTTTAGCAAAGAATACCCAATCATGTGCAAGGAAAAACACAATATTTTTGCTTGTATATGATTAGATGATGGAAATCCATAGAGCTTCACCTCATTCACTAAGCTAAGGGAAATTCCCTTGCAAAGTGAACAACCTATTTGTATTTTAGTAAATCAACTTCCATACATCAAATTAACTATTTGCATTGAAAAGATGGAATGTATAAAGATTATAGGAACATGCATCATATCTTTGTAGCAATCACAGCACTGCACTTGCATCATAGTATATATACTAAGACTTTGCAAAGTCCTTAGAGTATTGTTACAGCGATCTGATTTTATAACATACCATATGCTGAGTCTAGCATCATGGTTTATAAAGAGATGATCAATGCTATTAAAATAAGTTACCAAAGAGTGTCCTTTTACTGAAATACATTTAAAGTCCAACTGAAGTCACAAGAAAGGGTTTTTCAAAAGATAAACATTGTTCTAGCAACATCTATCAATATAGTCTAGCCTCCACTTTCCTATAACAGTGGATGTTCAGAGTGGCTTAAAATGACTGGACAATCCAAAGGGCACCAGAATTAGATCCAGTGCTCTCACTAAAGCCCGGAACACACAGGGTATGTGAACAAAGTGCCTTTGATCTAAGTGGCGGTAAAAAAATTGGATCCGTGCTTTTTGGGATACATTGACTGCTGAGTGCTTATTTTGGGAAAACACTTTTTTTCCTTTTCTGTGTTTTTTTTCCCATCTGGTTTGTAGATCTCTGGTTAGGGGAGGGGTTCATTGATCCCAGGTGTCTCTCATTAAGCAGGTGTAATATAAGCAAGTACACCACTCACATTGAGCTTGCTCAAACAGGGCTTGTGAACAAAGTGTCTTTGATCCAAGTGGCATTCCGGCCCGGTGCTACCATATAGGCAGGTCAAGCAACTTCTTGACGGCGCCAGCGGGGGGGAAAGGGGGCAGAAAAATGCGACTGGCCGCAAGATCCTTCCTATCAGCTGTCACAGGAGTTCTAGCACAGTGCTGTGCTAGAACTCCTGTATTTGAGTTGACAGGCTTTGGGTTTCTAGAGCACTGGGCTGACTTTTTATTGGGGTACAACCTATATGATAAATATGGTCTGTACCTAAATGGAAGGGGGGCTGCTGTGCTACGGGAGAGGTTCATGGGAGGGTTGGAGGAGTTTTTAAACTAGGATTGAGGGGGAAGGGAGAGTTACAATATAATGGGACAGATAAGTCAAAAGGGGTCAGACTATAATGGAGGGTGGAACAGGGGAAGATGGGGGGAGGAAAATCAAACTGGATAAGGAGATTCCCATGTTGCAAACAAAGACTGGAGATTATAGTGCAATTGTACTACAATAAAATATACAGATATTACAAGTGAAAAATGTAAAAATGGCTTTAATTGTTTGTTCGCCAATGCCAGAAGTCTGCATAGCAAAATGGGAGAATTGGAAACTTTGGTGCATGAGGAGAACTATGATATAATTGGTATTGCTGAATTCTGAGTTCTTCACATGATTAGGCTGTTAATAGTGGGCTCTTTCGGAGAGACCGAGTAAAATGAAAAGGTGGCGGTGTTTGTCTGTATGTGAGAGGTGATCTGAAAGTGAGTGTGAAAGGGGACTTCGTTGATGGTGCATGTGATGATGCTGAGGTGTTTTGGGTGGAGTTTTATACTGGTGTGCATAATGCAAAGGTAATTGTTGGAGTTATAAAGTTACAAAATATATTCCTGAAAGCAAAAAGTTTAAAAGGCTAAAAGTAAAATCTATGTGGCTCACAGTCAATATTCTGTTTAAACAGCCCCGATGCTGGCGACGTACACTGTACGTCGTCAGTCACGAAGGGGTTAAAAAGGCCATAAAGAATGAGAAAAGGGCGTTTAAAAAATACAAAAATGAAGGAACACTGTTGTCATTTTATAGCTACAAAGAATATAACAAAATATGTAAAAAGGAAATGGATTGCAAACATTCAAAACGAACGACAGGTTGCAAAAGAGTGCAAGAAACCCCCCCAAAATTCTCTAAATATATTATAAGTAAAAAAAATCAGGTCTGGGCACGTAGGCCCCTTACAAGGCAAATCTATTAAATACTTTCTTCAGCTCTGTGCACACCAAGGAACAGGATGCAACTCCACTCCATAATGAAGATGGCAGCACCATAGCCGCTAATAAACCACAATGGCTGACTACTGATATGCTCCAGAAATAGTTAGACAAAATTAAGGTGAACAAAGCACCTGGACCAGATGGCTTACACCCACGTGTCCTCAAAGAATTGAGCTGTATAATTTCAAAGCCATTGTATCTAATTTTTAGAGACTCTCAAATGACTGGTTTGGTACCGATGGATTGCCTTAAAGCCAATGTGGTGCCTATATTTAAAAAGGGACCAAAGTCTTTACCAAGTAATTGCAGACCTGTAAGTTTACCTTTAATAGTTGGGAAGATACTTGAAAGTTTGATCAAGGATCACATGCACTTGTTTTTGCTTGAAAATAATATCATAAGTGAGTAATAAATTGAACAGAGGAATGGCTGTGGATATAGTATACTTGGACTTTGCAAAAGCATTTCACAGAGTTCTCCACATACGGCTAATGTATAAGTTGAGGTCAGTAGGTATAGAGCATTCCATCTGTAATTGGATAGAAAAATGGCTTAAAGACTGTATTCAGAGAGTGGTGATCAATGATTCGTACTCTGAATGGTCTGAGGTTGTTAGTGGTTTCCCCCAAGGTTCAGTGTTGGGCCCCTTACTGTTTAACCTATTTATAAATGACATAGAATTGGGGATTAAAAGTACTATTTCTGTGTTTGCAGATGACACCAAGTTATGTAGTGGAATACAGTCCTTACAGGAGGTCTCCAACTTACAAGCAGATCTAAATGCACTGTGTGATTAAAATGTAAAGTGTCAAATGAGGTTTAATGTTGATAAATGTAAAATTCTGCACTTGGGGACTAAAAACAAAAACAAACATGTGTCATACACTCTAGGGGGCGGGGTATGTTTGGGGGAGTCAATGATGGAGAAAGATCTGGGTGTTCAGGTAGATCATAGACTCAATCATAGCAGGCAATGTCAAGCCGCAGGTCCCCAGCAAGCAAAATACTTTCTTATATTAAAAGAGGTCTAGATTCCAGAGACATAATCCTGCCCCTGTACAAAGCATTAGTAAGACGTCATCTGGAATATGCAGTTCAGTTTGGGCACCAGTTCACAAAAAGGATGTTGTGGAACTGGAGAAAGTGCAGCAAAGGGGGAACAAACTCATAAGAGGCATGGAGGAGCTCAGCGATGAGGAAAGATTAACTGACCTGAATTTGTTCTCTCTGGAGAAGAGGCGATTAAGGGGGAACATGGTCACTATGTATAAAAACATAAATGGTCCATATAGTGAGCTTGGTGCAAAATTATTCACTTTAAGGTCACTGTAAAGGACAAGGGGGCACTCTTTGCGTCTGGAGGAAAAGAGGTTTAACCTTTGCATACGGAAAGGATTCTTCACAGTTAGAGCTGTGAAAATGTGGAATAGACTCCCAGATAGC